TTTCCTTCTGTTTTCTTTATTTACAATTGTTTTATGTCTGCAATTCTTTATATTTATATTGATTTTTTATATGATTTTATTTTTGTTTATTTAACATTTTATTTATGTCTAATAGGAAACAATCGATGATATTGTTAAACATCGAGTAGAATATGTGTTTTGCTGTCAATGTATTGTCAGTTGTGAGATTAGAAAGTGTAGATTTTATTGAAGATCTTAATTTGTGTTTTTAAATCGAAAATTCTACATTACATTATAGGCTTTATTAAAAAGTTTATTTGCAAAGTTATTTGGTCTATTGTATTCGATATGTTTCAATTATTAGTTGAATTAGAATAGAATATTTAAAAAAATCTTTACATGACAAAGAAGTTTTTGTTTTATAAATTGAAAAATACTTAAAACTGCAGTATTGTAGAAGAGAGCAGTTTGCGAACATAGTTGATACCCTTCCTATCACTGTTGCCAATTTAGCTATTTTCTCGTCAAATCTAGCGATTTTTAATCCCATTTTGCGGGGAAAAATATGATTTAGCTATTAGCGGGAAATCTAGCGATTTTTCTATAGATTTTAAGGCATTTTTTATTCATTTATATTTTGATAATATCGCTTAAAAGTTGCTACGAATGACGATATTTACATATATGTATGTATATAAAAATATGCATTCAATGTAAATTATTTGAGTTTTAGCTGTGTTATTTTGAATGTTCTGAAGATCATAATTAGGAGCAAATATTTGTGCGTACAGGTAAATTTATACGAAAAACTTTAAAAGGGGTATATTTTGTTGTACTCAATTAAAAAACGAATATTTAATTATTCTAGTCTTTTAGTAAATGTGTGATATGATAATAAAATTTACCATAATTCTAAAAATTAGTGAACATTGGAAATAAGTGACGAAAGGATCGATCCATAAAGTCCTAAAAATTTACAACATTTCTAAGGCGTATAGGGCCGCATATCGATATTGCAGATAAACTTCTCACGAAAGGAGTGTATAATAATAATCTTGGGTGCCCCGGTAGGCTAGTTGCTAGTGTGCTAGCCTGTCAGTCTGGGGGTTGTGGGTTCGATTCCCAGCAGAGATCCTGGTCTGCTACACTACAACGGTCGTATGGTTATCGTCACCCTGCTCGGTAAATTAGGTTAGAATATAATTTGTAATTGTATTGTAATGGAAAAATAAATAATACTCTTATGCCGAAAATAAAGGATCGATCCATAAAGGCCAGCATTTCGAAATTCAATTTATCTTTACAACATTTCAAAAGCAATCTGTATAGGGTCGCATATCGAAATTAACCTCAACTTGACATTTTTCCTAACCCAAAGTGAAAATATTTAACATAAAAAAGATTCTCTTATGTGTTTGTTATAAGATGTGTTTGTATTACTATCCCATTCCTACGTATGTATATAGATTTTAGCGATAAATCGCTGACTTTTTAGAATAATATAAAAAATCTAAAAAAATTTAGCTAGTTTTTTTAGCTATTTCTTTTCAGAATCATATAATAAATATTATTTTGACGATTTATCGCTAAATTTTTCAAAATGTCTTGAATTTAGCTATTTTCTAGCTATTTTTCAGTCGACTTTAGCGATATTTTTGGGAAAAAAGTTGGCAACAGTGCTTCCTATAAACATCTTTAGTTATGCAGTATATAAAATATCTTTATAAATCGTTTTTATAATGTCCGCCTGCACTGCTACATTAACTCGGACGTTAGTGCCGTTCTTTATAAAAAATTAACTCTTTATGGTAAGGTCTGATGAGCAAGGCAAGCCTATGGCAAGCAATTGGTTTTTCAAAACCCCATGATTCTGTAAACTAATAACAGTTAATAAACATTGGGCCAACCTTTACCTTTATAATGGGGAGGGTATTATGCGTTTGTGCTGTTATTTGTAACAACCAAAAATATTGGTCCTATACCCTCCTTAAAGTATACAAATTGGCTCAGAATCACTTTCTGAGTCTATTAAGCAATATCCGTCTGTCCGCCCGTCCGTCCGTCTGTCTGTCTGTCTGTCTGTCTGTCTGTCTGTCTGTCTGCCCGTCTGTTTGTCTGTCCGTCTGTGTATCCATGTAAACCTTGTGCGCATGCTACAAGTCGCAAGATATTTTGATGAAATTTTGTTTTATATATGTTTAAATGATATTGCCGATTTCCATAATGATCGGTCTGCATTTAAACCTAGCCCCCATACAAAGTCCTCTTTCAGAAAATGACTTGAATGTGGAAATTCACCTTTAAACACTACTATCACATTGAAATTCTGCATAAATAACTTTATTGTCATCATAAATCGCTCTACCAAAATTGGAACAGTGGAACATAGGGCCGCAACAAATGTTTTCCAGTTCAATTTATCAAAACACATCATCTTCATCTCGCTCCATGAAACTCCAAATTCCTGCAGCTCTTGTTCTATCTGTCGTCAACCCCCAAGGCTCTAGAACTTGGGGGTTGAATTCGACGACTTGTCGCGAGAGATCAGTACTTGGATTTCTCATAGTGTGCCCTAGCCAAATTTACAAGAACATATGCACATATGAATCGGAGCTTGGTCAGTACGTTTCCATTGATCCAGATTTGAGATAGTGACTGGCCAGAAAATTCTGAGAATACGTCTGAGACACCAGTTGACAAAAGCTTGTAAACTACTCATCACTCGACGGGATATGTTTCATGTTTCGCAACCATATAAAAGTACAGTCCTTACATTGGAGTTAAAGACTTTAAGTTTGATGTTCGTTGGGATGTTCTGTGATCTTCAGAATTTATTCATTGTACCAAAAGCTTGCTTTGCTTTACTCAATCTATTTTGTATGTCCTCCTTGCTGTCTCCGCTCGTTGATATTAAACCTCGTCGATAGTCTGCCCCGCGAGCTGGGGCAGACTTGACGCATTGACTTGGTTTTCTTGATGTTAATTTGTAAGCCAACAAGTTGTTCAGACATAGACTTGCTTAGCACAACATCCAGAACAATATTAAATAAAAGGGGGACAGAACACATACATGAAGGACTCCACCGTAATATTTATGGGTTTGCTCTGTGAGCCTTCATGAAGGATGCGGCAAAATGAGTCATTGTATAGCTCTGGTCTGAGACTGATCTTATCCCAAATAGCATTGTGAACCAGTGTATCAAAAGCACGTTTGAAATCCACGAACACTTAGTAAAGGGGTGAATGCCATTCCACCGACTGTTCCACAATAACCCTTAAGCGGTTAGATTTACCTTAGCTCCCATATAACCCCTGTTTCAGAAAATCACAAGTTAACAGAAATGATACAATGTCATGAGAAGGTTATACTTTATAAGTTCGTCATTATGTTTTTAATTTCCACAACCCTTGGAAGTACTTATATGGCCATCTGTCCAGCTGTCTTTATGTTTGTTGAAATTAATTTATTGAAGACCCCGGATGTCTTTGGGATCCAAATCTTCAATACTTCTATCAAACATGCGAGAAGTTTCCAATATCAAAAATCGGTCCATAAATTACGGAAATATGGGCAAAAATACCAAAAACAACTCATGAAGGTATTGTTGGTAAACAAAAGAAGTTAACGCTGAAAACAAAAATGGCAACAATTACAAAGTTTTGGTAAAGATATTTAAAAGTTCTCATACACAGAGGGAATAAGAAATATTCACGCCTGGTACCAAATTGACACCAAAGAGTTTATAATTTTTCAATAACATCCGTTGTCAAAGTATATACTTACATACGTACCACAACACTATGTAATGTTGACAAGGCAACGTTGTCAACATTGAAACAATTCGTTGTTGAAATCTAAATTGTATACATATCCGTTGTCTAAATCTTAACAAAGGTGGTAAGAACACTATAGGCAATGGATTGTTTGTCAATAGTGAGCTTACCACGTTTGTTAACATTTAGACAACGGATGTGTATAAAATTTAGATTTCGACAACGAATTATTGCAATGTTGTCAACATTACATATTGTTGTTGTACGTATGTATATACTTTGACAGCGGATGGTATTGAAAAATTATAAACAGTTTGGTGTCAAATATTGTTATGTGTACAAATATTGTTTCAACTGGCACAGTATCTTTCGGCGTTTGAGATGAAGGGCCTAAGTGTCACAATAAATCGACTCGCATATCTCGAAATACAAACACCGCGATGACGATATTTTTTAACCAAAAAAAAAAAAAAAAAATACATTTATAAAATATTTATACTATTGATATATTTTTTCCAAAAATCTTGTATTCAAACAAAAACTAAAACATAAATTACCACTAAAAACCATTAATTACCACTTTCATAATCATACAGCAAAAACCCAAGTTAGAGCAAACAACATCAACTGTTTCCAATAATTAACAATTACTTTATATTACACAATACTAATGGCATTTTTAAAGGCCAAAAAAAAGGATATTCACAGAAAGCCAAAAATATAAAAATTGACAAAAAAAAACTAAAACTCATCTAATTAATTTATTTATAAAAAAGTATGCATATTTATAAAATCTTTAATTTTAAGACTTTCTGTGATTAGCCATAATATTTTATATTAATTTAATTTATAGACCTACCCACACACAAAATACATTCATACCTAATTACACAATACAAAAATTTAATTTATAATTAAATTTATTATTTTCATTATTATAAATATTAGTTAGTTAAATAACTTAATTACCTTTTACACTAATTTATAATTATTTTTATTATTATTTATTTTTTATATAATTTATACAATATTAAATATCATTTTTGAATTTTTTGCATTCATTTAAATAAAAAAGTTGCTTATTATCTATTTGGAAATTATAAAACAATATTAAATTATAATAATTAAATCAGTTTTATAAGTTACAAACTTTTTTTTACTTTGTTTTCGTTTTTATTTCTTTTTTTTGTGTTCTAAAGTTATAGAGAGTTTGGGGAGTTTTGGTTATATTTAAATATTTATGTCCCCAGGGTGTTTGTTTCGTATTATTTAAGCGTAGGATCCAGTGTTGTAAATTCCAATTCACCACGTGGTAAAATAAGATCAGGGTCTGCAATATATACTACGTTGTTATAATAATCGTTTAATGGTATATATTTTTGTTAGGTTACAAAAAGTTTCAAACAGAAAAAAAAAAAAATACATAAAGTGCAGAAAAATGTTATTTAAAAAAGAGAAAAAGAACAACAGGAAGAGATTAATAAAAGTATTAAATAAATTTATAACAATTTAATTGTTTTAAAACAAATACTTAAATAATTAATTTAATAAACACATACTTTACACTTTCAAACACATACACACCTAAGCAATAACATAAAAGCAAAAATAAAGATTAAAGGTAAAAAACCTTTAAGCAGCTACAACAGTTTCAAAAAAAGGCAGCCAAGCAACAAACGGCTTTTAATAATAAATGTAGTTTTATAATAATATAAATATAAAGTTTTCAAAAAAAGTAACTGTTTTACTTTTAAGAGGATTTTCTATTTTAAATTAATTCTGCAACATTTTAAATTTAATAGAACTCTACAAACATAAACACCGATTTCTTAAGAATATTTAAAAAATAATTGTTTCAAGTCAAGTAAGCAAATTCTTAAGAAAGTTCGTATGTATGTGAAAGTACGATTTTTTGAATTTTCATAAACATCTTAAGGCATTTTGTGTGTTTTCCAAATAAATATTGTATTTCATGAGAATTCAATTTTAGCTTAAGTTCGTTTAGAGGAATTTTTATTTTTAAATTTCAATTAGAATAAGATTAATAAACTTTTAATTATTTTAGAAATACTTTTAATATATTAATATGACTTCCTATTAAAGCCTTATAATTAGAAATTTTTACATTTACATAAAGCTAAATCTTTATGCTTTGAAAAATGTTAATTGATAAGAAAAATATAAGACATAGAGGTTAAAATATTGTATATCTTTAAAAACACTAAAGATAAAAAACTATGTAAAAGTCAATGAGATTCACAGAGGATACTTTCTCCACCACTATTCACTAAAAAGTGTTGTGTAGAAATCATTAATTGAAGCACAATAGACTAACTAAGGTGTGGTGCTGGGAATACAACAGCGGACTAATGATAACGAGACCCAGGTTCATTTCCTGTGATAGACATTTTTTTAAACAAAACGATCTTTTAACTCCCTATTGGCAATAATTTGGCTAGGAGAGCCCGTTAATAACTTGCCTCAAAAATTTCAATGAATATATAGTTTTTAACTCATTACTTTTCTATATAAATTTTGGCTAGGAGTGTTTTTGTAGAAGCCTTTAAAATTTATTCCGAAATATATGTAAAATAGCTCATTTTATATAGATGTTCGTAAAACATTAAAAAACATACAAATGAAAAGATTTAAACGTCACTTACGGACAAGATCACAAATATTTAAAAAACTCTCAAATAGACATTAAATATTTATAATCACCTTATATGAGATCGTTTTGCTGTAATAACAGGATGATAAAATCGTATCTTTCAATCGTAATAAAAAGCTCTGCTGGGTAATTGAGTATATTTTAATTTCCATCGATCTTAAAAGGAAAGATAAAGTCAAAAAGATCAATAAGCCAAATGATCTCAACTAACAAAGGGGACATTGTATAACAATTTGAGACAAAAAATACATTGATCTTACATTAGATAGAAAAGGGGAAAAAGGAAGAGAGCTCTCTCCTTATCAATGATACAAATGATCTACCCTAACAGGGGGTGACCAAAGAAATGAGATAAAAAGATACTATGATATCTAAAGGAGATCACCTAACAAAGGCGACATTATATAACAATTTGTGACAAAAAGTATAGCGATCTTGAAATGAGAAAGAAAAGGAGAAAAGGAAAGGGAGCTCTTTCCCTATCAATGAAACCAATGATCTACCTAAACAGGAGGTAACAAAATATAATAGCTTGAGACAAACAAATTAAATGATCTCTTAAGGAGATCACCTAACAAAGGCGACATTACGTAATAATTTAGGACAAAAAGTCTAGTTATCATAAAATGAGATAGAAAAGGATAAAAGAGCTCTCTCCCTAGCAATGAAACAAATGATCTACCCAAACAGGAGATAACAAAAAAATACACAATGATCTCACTTGACAAAGGCAACATTACATAACAAGTTGGGAAAAAAAGTTCAGCGATTTTCAAATGAGACAGAGAAGGAGAAAAGTAAAGAGGTCTTTTTTTCGATTAATGCGATAAATGATCTAATCTAAACACAAGGATACAGAATTATAATGATATTCAATTATTCAAAATCTACCAATATTGTTTATATTATAACCGAATTCAAATACTTATGAGAGACACTGTAAATAATAATTTCACACAAAAATTGTGCTGGCCAAAAAATATTTAACTTAAAGACCAAAGTATACTTTTCTAAAGAATTAAGCATCGCTAATTGCGAAATTGGCCTCAGAATGTTTATCACATCATATCAGGTTTTTGAGATATCGTGTACTAAAAACTGAAAAATCCCCGTTTTTTGAGTATATTTAAGTCGTTATAACAGCGTGAAGAAATCTTTGTTGATAAAATCTGATATTTAATTTGAATGTTCAATCTATCGGCTTAAAAATAAAGGTTTAATCTCCGTCATATCTGTGTGCTTTTTCGAGATCTTAACCTAAAGCTTGGAACAACCACAAAATTACAATTTTTACCTTTATTCTATGACAAACTATATGCCTCAATTTGTTACAATTTTCCCAATAAAAATCTGTTCAAATTATTTAAAAATCTCATGTGCTTGAGAAGATATCGCAGTATAAATTTTTTTTATTTATAGTTGTTTCAAGGTTTAAGTTAAGATATCTCAAAGAATGATGAAGATATGACCGTCATTGTATAGTCGATTGGTCTTTTTGATGATATAACTGATTTTATAAGTAAGGTGTCTCAATAAAGGTAAAAAACCGGATTTTTAAGTTTTTAGGACACAATATCTCAAAAACCTTATATGATAGAGGAATACTTTGGCATGTATTATCTAACATAAGAAATATGTAGACTAGACTTTGATCTAGTTTATTACTATAGACTATTCTACAAATAAGTCTCTTCAGTAGTGTAATATCTAGCCAACTGATTAGTTTTTTGATTAGTCTACTGACTACTTATTCTAAGAACTACTTAGAAAAAAGTTTTGAATATAAAAAGTAACCAAACAATTAAGAATGTATAGTCGGGCATGGCCAACCTACACCTACACCAGTGAGTATGTTAAAAATGTGGATTATTTTTTTTAATAATAAAGCAACATAGTACAACATTTAACATACTTATAAACCTAAAAGCGCTATTCTCACGGTTGTATGGGGGTAGGCGAAATAATTGACCGATTTCAACCAATAGCGTTCGCCCTTGGGTCAAAAGAAGGGTATGTGATAAATTCCATCAAATTATCTGGAAAATTGCGACCGGTAGCGTTCGCACAAGGTTTACATGGGCACACAGATGGACAGACAGACAGACAGACAGACAGACGGACGGATGGACGGACAGACATAACTTAAATGTAGACAACAGTACTAAATTTCCCATCCCATAAATGTTGTAAAGGTTAATAAGAAGGATTACAGAAAAAGGACTCTACTGACCATTGACCTGCAAAGTCTAACTGTGATAACTTAAGTATATGACTAGAATATTATTACAGTTATGAGTATTTCTTTTCAGCTAATTAAACAAAAGTTTAAACCCCAATTTAATGCATAATTAATAGCACCTTTTTAGGAACAATTCCTTTTATTGAAAGCTATTTTTTAAAATAGCAAATAAATTAATAATGTTTTCTTTTTCATTTAACAAAAAGGTACAATCTAAATACATTAATAAAATATTTAATTAAATATTTTTCCCGTTAAAAAAAAAGAGAACCATTCAAAATGACAGTGAAAAAGGATTAAAATTTATTAAGCACAACTAAAAAGCATAAAAACTAATTTATGAATAAAACAAACTGACAGTTTTATCATTTGAATTGTCATAAATTTAACAAGTTAACAAAAAAATGAGTTTTTATTTAAATATTTCGTTAATAAAATATTTTAAAATGCCACAAAATAAACCATAAGTCCTTATAAGGACATTTGAAAAAAAAAATAGTAGAGGGATAGAATTTTGTATTAAATGAATGTTTATTTAGTCTAACAACTGTAACATAAAACCTAATAAAATATAAAGAAACTAGAGCAAATGTGTGTTGGTTGGTGGGTTCTGTTGTTGTTAATATTGTAATATTTTATTTGAAATGTTGTTATTTATATTTTGATCAAGTGTTTTATTTTATAATGACCTAATTTATTGTTTTTGACCCTCATTCTGGCTAAGGCATATATTTTCACTTATTATGGTTCCATGTTTATTTATACCGTAAAGTGAGAGATGAAGTCGTTAAATTAAAAATCGCCCCTCTTTTTTTATCATGCTCACATTATTTTCGAATTTTTATTGTTATGGCAGTTTTATACTTTGAAAATTAAAAAAAAAACATTTCAGTTTTTTTCTTTTATTTTATATGGCGTCTCAAAGCCATTAAATATATTTTCTTTCGACTTTATTTGCTGTGCGTTTTTTTTTATTTGTACATTTGCTATTTCTATTGAGTTTTTTGTGCTGTTAAAATGGCATGGAAATGTGGAAAAGTACTGTTGGTAAAATGTATAAGAAACTGTTTTAAGTATAAAACAGTGGGATTTTAAGGAAATAAAATAAAATTCACTTAAGGAATATAAATAAGTTGTTAAAAAAAAAGACATGAGCAACGAACTTGAATGCTTTAATCTATTTTTAATTATTTTCTTTCTTTTTCTTTGCTGCTGGTTAAAAATGGCCTAAAAATTATTATGAAGAGGATAAAAATTAAGCAATTTTTGTAAACTGTTAAGCTTATTTAAGATCTTTTAAATGTTTAAAAAGTTAACAATTTAACAATTTTCAGCCTGTTGCTAAATTGTGTTTTAAATTATAGCTTGCTAAACTTCTTAGTCTGTGTATGAGTATAACTTTAGGTAAACTTAGGTCAGA